ACAGCATGTTGCGTCTTAATAAGCTTCTTTGGATATTTTCTGCTTATTATTACATTTTTTGATGTTGTTAGGTAGTTTTTAAATGGAGAATACTACCAATTTTTGTAAAACATGAGATGAAGCTGATGGTTAAAGCGATATGTTATTAAAGCTAGGTTACAATATGGTGGTCAAAAATACCCAGAAAAATTTAATTCTCTAGAGAATAGATTATTGGATTCTGTAGTTGTTGGGATGTTGGAATGTTCATGGACTGCAAGTTTGACACACGCTATGTTTGTTTGAGTACTATTATACGAGCCGGAAATATAGTTATTGCAGGTTTGTACTTCTGTAACAGTTGTAGTTTGTGTTGCAGCTTCACATAATGTTACGGCATCTGGATAAAAACTGAGCAATTTTTTAGGGATGGAAATTTTTTTATTTGAATTAATGTGCAACCACTTAGACATGTTCCATCCCCGACCTCTCTTTAATTTCAAAAACTCCTTTGGTAACTCAGTTTCATTTTTATACCTGATAATATTAAATGATTTTATGTGATTAGCGTATCTAATTTTAAAAGGTGTTTCACTTATACCGATGTAAAATTTGTTTATAGAAGTTTGGGCAGGGTCAATCTTATGGGAAAATATTTTTTAACCCTTATCGATAAACAATTACCTGTTAATCACAAGCTCCATAAGATTTTCAATAGAAACCCAATAAAAGTAAGTTACAGCTGCATGCCAAATATGAAATCTATCTTAAATGCACACAATCGTCATATTTTAAACAACAACAAAATTACCACTAACAGCAATTGCAACTGCCTTGATAAAAACACCTGCCCTTTGGCAAACAAATGCCTGGCAAATAACATCGTGTACTAAGCTAATTTAACCTCCAATGATCCTGCCGAAACTTCTATAAACAAACTTTACATCGGTATTAGTAAAAATTTTATTAAAATTTTTATTTATTAGTAAAAATTTTATTAAAATTAGTAAAAATTTTATTAAAATTAGTAAAAACTTTATTAAAATTAGTAAAAATTTTATTAAGATTAGTAAAAATTTTTTTAAAATTAGTAAAAATTTTATTGAATCATTTTTTCTAATTAGTGTATCATTTAAAATTAAATCAGGTAATTTTAAAGGAAATTTTTCATCTTGTGATTTTTTATGAAATAAAGTATATTTTGTTTTATCTGTATTGAGTAAAAGTTTATTTGCCTTAAACCATTCATCTACATTCATTAGTTCAGAGTTCATGTCAGAATACAGTTGATTAATGTCACAGTTTGAAAAGAAGAGATTTGTGTCGTCAGCAAACATTATTGAGTTAAGCTTAGCTGATGCATTATTTGAAGAATTGACCCTTGTGGAACTCCACAAAAAATTTTAAGGTGACTTGATTCTTTACTAATAACATATTGTTTTCTTTCAGTGAGGTAGCTTTTTAATCAATCATGGTTTTTATTTATCACTCCGTAGTGTTTTATTTTTTCCAAAAGAATTAGGTGATCAACCGTATCAAATGCTTTTGATAGGTCAATAAATAATCCAAGAGTGAAGCTATTATTTTCAAATCCTTAAGTAGTTTGGTCTACTATTTCAATTATTGCGTGTTCTGTTGAATGTTTTTTCCAAAAACCAAACAGTTTTGTGTAAAATAAATAATTAGAAGAAATTTAAGGTTTAACTTTTTGTAGGGTAATGTCCGCAATTGCGTACAAAAGGTTAAATCTGAAATTTCTTCTAAACCTTAAAAAAAAATGAATCCTTATATTAGTAAACAGTAAAAATAAGATTAAAGGTATATTTACCTAAAAATAGAAATAGAAAAAAATTTCTATACTCAAACTTTTTTTAAAAAAGCTCCAAAAATAGTAAACAAACCACACCAAAGTAGCTTTTACTAAAAGTATATTTTATTCACAATGAGAGGTCACAGTTTGAAAATTTTGGACCCTAATACCAGAAACAACTCCTATGAACCCTTTTGATGGGTGTTAGTAAATATCATAGGGATCTTATAACAAGTAATTTTGAAATCCGGGATTACCGTTCGCAAGACTTATTCAACATTGAAGTTTTTGCTTTTAAATTACGAAACCTGAAAAATTGCAAAATTCCTCCAAAAATATTTGGCTGCCCTAAATTACCATATTATGAAGTAAAAAGGTAACAAATGATAAAAACACATCTTAAAACATTTATTTATACAAAATAAATACATTCTAAAGATAGACTAATAAATTCTCAAAAATGCAACATATTCATTGATGGTCAGTGCCTCATAGCAAGCTACTCTACATTTTCTTGCTGTTATAATCAATGACACACTTCAGGAGTTGACTGGAGTAGTCTGGATGGGTGTTCAATCTTTTTTATCGCTCCCAATGCTTGCCAAAATCCGAATGCAGTGCTTCAGTGGCTTGTTCACTGTATAGACCAAGGCTTTTCTTTTTCATCTTGATGAACTGTGTCACATGGTGGAAAACAGTGTGAACCTTTGGAGTAACAGAGATTCCCAAACTCATGTAACTTTTTTTGAAGATGGTGATTTTTTCCTCGATAGTTGGGATGTAAAGTTTTTTCAAAGCATGCAGAGACAACTTCGTGAAAGTCTTTGAATGTCTGAATGAATTGAGATGGCTCAGAAGTGCTCTCATTTTCAGCCATTTCAGCCAATTTGTCAATTTTCCTCAGAAGCTTCATGCAGTCATTGCCATTGAAGTGCCCTCCATGAAAAGGCTGAATCTTGATGTGCAATGAAGTTGGCCATTCTGTGGCCTTTGGCCATTTTTGCACTAAGCATTTGAACAGATGGTTGACCACCCCTAGCAGAAGATAAAGCTCCATAGGTGGGATGAACTCCAAAATCAGTGCTTGATCAGGACCAAAGATTAAAGGACTGTGGACAGCATTTTGGAACTCCTTGGATCTTCTTACATCTCCGCCACTACCCACAAAGCTTTAATGTTGAGCTCTTATAGCTCCAAAAGATCGGGGATTCCCACGCAGAAGCTTTAAAGACTCAATTTCACACCAACAGCAAGGGTGCTTGCTGCTATGAGACTGGATGCCACAAATAATGTTTGCAAGTTTCATATTGCAAGAAATTACAGCAGCTTCTGATGGGATTAGTTCTTAAAGCTTGATAAGTCGAAAAATCTCTTGCACATTCCAATAATTTTCAGGAGTGTCATCAGCAACAGCCACAAGAAATTGCTTTTTTACACTAGTTTGCTTTGAGACTTGTGTCGTGAGTTTGGCAGATTTTTGGACAGTACTGTGGGGCTCTAGGTTGTTTTCTTCCTCATCAATAACTCCAATGCTCACTTTTAAGAATGACTCTCCTCCATCAATACCTACCTAGCCTCCCAATTTGGCAGATCAAACAATCACAGGTGTTTGAACTTCGAGTTGCCGGTTTTATTTGGATGTCTTCAAACCTGTACAATCTTGGTTTACACGTCTTAGGATCCCCATCTTTAAGCATTTTCAGTTTAAAACGACATGTCTGACATGAGGCAAGAGGAACTCTGTAGTTATTGAAGCTCAGATTATTCTTGATGAGGCACTGAACCTTTTGCTTTAAAAAGTCTGTCAGAACTTGGTCACCTTTCTTCATGCAGATAATGCACACAGATTTTCGACAATCCTCTTGGGTTTTTGCTGAATTGGGCATTTTTGATGCACATTCTACGAATTTTTCTTCAATGATATTTATGCAGCCCTTTCCCGGAAAACAATCGCCGTAATTTTGTTGAAATTATTTTGGTGATAAGAATTTAAAAAAATCACACTGGTGTTTTAAAATACACCAAATACCATCAAGTAGCACTTTCTTAACCTTTTGATACTTGTTGTATTTAGAAAAGTTGTGTAAACTTGTGTCAGAAAAATTTTTCAGTAAAAGTCACAGCGTTTCATTAAGATAAAACTAATAAAGTCAAATAAGCCTTGCAGACGGTAATCCCTGATTTCAAAATTACTTGTTATGAGATCCCTATCATATGTACTAACACCCTTCAAAAGGGTTTTCATAGGAGTTGTTTTTGGTATTAGGGTCCAAAATTTTCAAACTATGAGGTTTTTTATTTTATTTGAAATATTTTTTTATGTAACTTTAAGTTATTTATATAACAATTTCAATTCAATAATTAGTTAGACGTGGATTTAGTTACTGAGAATTATACATATGAACTGTTGTCAACGAATGGTTTTCAAAGTGCTGTAACCGTAGCCATTTTTAAAATTCTGTAAAATTTAAATTTCACTGCGTTTGCGTTCAATTAAAAGTTATTTCTTTCCACTTTTTCGATAAATCTGAACGACCGTGCAGAAACTATCGTTGTTTATGATTTTTTTTAGCTTGTTATCTGTTTTTAATGGTCTCGTTAACATTTTTTTAAGTATTCTAAATTTACAGAATTATTGTGCCAAATTTACCATTAATAAATCATTACTTTCATTCACAAATTCAACTTGTTTCACGTAAAATGTAAAAAGATTTTTTTTATCTGAAGCTGTTATATTAGTCTTGCTGAAATTCGTATAAATTTGGATTTGAAGGACATTTCTAAAAATTGTTGGTTTTGCTAAATGCGTTTTGATGATTATTTCAGTTGAAAAACAAATGCCATTTTTCCGATATGCAAATATGTAACAAACAACAAAAATAAAGCCAACAAAAATATTAATTTCGTTAAACAAAGTATTTCTATTTGTTCTATTTAATTGGTTTCTATTTTTCAATTTAACTGATAAAATTAATGACGTAAAATGCATTTATATATATGCATTTTACGTTCTATTTTTCAAACTAATTAATAATTACATTTCTATTTTTAAATTTAATTGATAAAATAAATGATGTAAAATCCATATATATATATGTGCATTTTACGTCATTTATTTTATCAATTAAATTGAAAAATAGAAACCAGAGTACTTTGTTTAAGCCAATTTTCGATGACGTAGATTTATTTTGAATTATGTAAACGAGCTTGATTTTATCATTTCAGCAAAACTGGACTGAAAGTTTGGAAACACTCTAAAATGGTCTCTAAAGTATATGTTAATGGTTTTGTAGACTGTTGTTTCAAAAAATATATTTTAAACCAAATGAAGCCTAATAGAAGGTTTTTTTGCTTATCATCAATCGTCAGTAATGATTTCAACGAAAAAGACTACAAGTTTCATTACTTAAATAGCAACGTATTTCAGAGCAAATCAACAAAAGACCTTATTAGATCTTTTGTAGTGTTGAAAACGTCGTCAATCGGCAGATTTGTCGATTATTCAGAGCGGGTGAGTCATGCAGATAACCTTTTTTTTACATTCATAATTTATAAGGTTTTCAAGTTTTTGAAAACTGTTTTAACTTATATTTTTTCCATTAATTTTTTATCAGAATCTCTATATGATATCGTTCATCCTCCAATTTGAATAACAAGTTTAACAATCCATGGTCTGTCCTATATTCAGCTTTGTATATTAATAATGATGCATTTGATATATAAACGTTGGGAAATAAATAATATTAGTCGACAATCTCATTAAGATAGCCTTTAAAAAAAAAAGACTTTACAATCAAACGTTTATCTAATGCATATTTGACTAAAATTGTTTCAAACTTCTCTAAATAATTGCTTAACTATTAGTTAAATTTAAATGTTATTATTATGTTTATTAAATTATATAGATAAGCTATTAAGTGAATTAATGAGTTTTTAATTTTTTTTTGAATATAAAATAATGTATGTACATAGCTAATGTACGTATATATGTACGCAACCTTTTCCGTTTAGACTGTGTAATGTTTGTAAAGTTCCTTTATTATTTACAATGATAATAATGTTAATAAAAGCTGCTTTGTTCATTAGAAAAAAATATATTTTTCTAATGAATCATCTGTTTTGATTAAATTAACAATTTGATATTTTTTTCTTTAAAACATTCATGTATTTTCATACTTTATACATTTATACGTCTTCATACGTATTTTTTTTTTCTTTAATACATTCAAATATCTTCATACTTTATACATTTATACGTCTTCTTACCTATTTACAGCAACGTTTTTTACAGCGCACAGTGGGCCGGATATTAGACATATGGTGGACAAAATTGTTTTAATTTTTTTTTTTTACTAAAACCCTTTATGTCTAAAGAATCACTTTGTATTAAGATATATTTACTTTTACTATAAATTTTAGTTAAAATGTTTGCTAATACTAAAAATTATTTAACAAAATTTAGAAAACTTTAAAAAAACGGATTTATAATTTTTTAATTTCAGATCCTACAACTTCTTAAAATTGTGGAACTGAATATGAAACTCTTCTGATAGAATAAATTTAAAAAAATATTGATGAAACAAACTTTAAAAATAAAAATGCGTTTGTGTCTTAGTTTGTATACCACATTGCTTTTTAAGAGTGTGATTTAGAAGATTTTTCAGCGGTATTTGTACTCAAAAGCCATCTATGTAAATAAAGTGCAGAAAGTTCTAGAACATTCTACGGCAATTACGTTTCTTTTTTACTATTTTTTTTACTATTTTCTTTTACTATTAGTTCTTAATTATTTTAATTGTATTTATGCATTAAGCAGTTTTTGTAATGTTAATTTTGTGGGTAGATCAGTGGCGGATTCTTCATCTAATTGTGTTAGTTGAAGAAAAGACGGAAAATAAATACCGCAAATCTGAAGAGGGGCAGTCTTTAGTAGCCGTACCTAATACCATTTTATTCTTTTGAAAATTATTTATCGGAAAACGTCTAAATTGTTCTGACCTTGATCTTTACCGGTTTTTACATCCATTTAAAACAATCATGACAACGATTTAAAACAACCATGACATTCATTTAAAACACCGCGACAATCAATTAAAACAATGTGATTTTCAATTAAAACAATCGTGATTTTCAATTAAAACAATCGCGATTTTCATTTAAAACATTTAACGCATGCGCAATCTCAACATTCTATATTTTTTTTTAAAAAAAGGTCTTCTTTATATATTTATTTATCTAATATTATATAAATTTATTTTTATTAATATCATATTAATTTATTTTAATTTAAAGGAATTTATTTTAAATTTGAATGGATGTCACGTTTGTTTTAAATGGATGCAAAACCATATTTTTTTACATATTTTTTATACACATACTGTATTGGCAAAACAACCATGATGTTCAATTAAAACATGCATAATGATAATTAAAACAATCATGATTTCTTATTAAAATATTTAGCGCATGAGGATATTAGATTTTCATTAAAACATGCAGCGAAATTCTGTCTGCCAAAATAAGCGAAAATTTGCTTTGAGATTGGTCGTTGATCAAAGAAAAATTCAATCTGAAACTTCATTGCCACGAAAAACTCAATCTTCATGCCGCGAAATTCCGTTTCCCAAAACATTCGAGATCTTGTTGTAAATCTAGTCGTTGATCAAGTAAAAACTCAATCTGAAGCTTTATCAATCAATTTTAAGAAGGTACGATCGAACGAATTCAACACTTCCTGGTTCTAGAGGTGGCGCTCGTCACGTTACTTATAATGAAGAGATTAGAAGAAGAATTGGAAAGCTTATAAACGATAACACAACGACAACTATAATTGAAATTAAATATACTTTAAATGTAAATTAATTAAAACTGTCTGGAGATGGGTGACCAATCTTGGATACACATATAAAATTACTCGACCAATTTATAAAAGAAGAAACGACAATGATGTAAAAAATCTTCGTATTGAATATTAGGTGTATATTAGTCGTATGTGTATATTAGTGTATATTAGTGTATATTAGTGTATATTAGTGAATATTAGTCGTATTGAATGTTAGGTGGTATACTTCTATCTCGTCTATTAATCGCTATCGAAATATTGTTTTTAGTGATGAAAGTTCATTTAATTTACACATGTTTCGCAGTCATTCATGGGCAAGAAGAGGAGTAACACCAAACCCGATCATTCACCCTAGGCAACGTAACGCTTCAATGATATTGGCCGTCAATGGTTTAAACATTATTCACTGCGAAGCTGTCAGTGTGTCAGTCAACACAGTTTTGTTTCAAGAATATATTGATGAAGTTGTACGAGTTATGGGGACAGAGGAAGAATTCACCCTGGTGATGGATAATGTCAGAATCAATCATAATGTTGAGATGAGGGCTCAGAACATTCAAATAAAATATTTGCCACCATATTCACCATTCTTGAATCCGTGTGAAGAGATTTTTTTTATCTTAAGAAAAACGTGCGAAAAAATACGGCCCCAGCTAGAAGAAATGATCTAATTTCAAGAATACGTGAGGCATGCTTATTTATTCCTGATGTTAACTTATCAAACTATTACACTCACTGCGAAAGTTTTTTTGAAGCGTGTCTTAGGTCAGATGACATACCTCGACAGTAATTGGAAAATAAACATTATATTTGTTTATTTTCCAATTACTTATAACTTTTTATTTATTTTCCAATTACTTATAACTTTTTATAAGTTGAAACTACGTCTTGTTGTAAAATATTTTGATTTCAAATCGACACAATGTCAAATAGACAAAAACATAGTTTTTAAGCCCCTTCATCGACCTTTGACTAATTTTTAAAATAGCCAAACATAACATACACTTTGCACTTTCACCTTTTTCTTCTTTTTAAAAATAATTTCTTTTATTTAAATATTAACTTGGAATGATGTTAAAGCGTAGGTACGCCGTACACCAGGTAAGTACACTATTCATAAATAATTAAATATTTAGTCAAGATTTTGAAAAAGTAGTGCGGCATATTTACTAAATAATTTTCACGACGCAGAGGCGCAAATTTTCGTATAGAAATACCTTTTGATTTGCAATATTTAAAAAAACTTATAAAATTGAATTCAAAACTTTACACAAAAAGATAAGTAACACAAATAAAATTTTACAAATAAACTCCTATTACTTCTTTCGCATTTCTTTAGTACTTTTTTTAGTAAACACATCATTTTTCATGTGCATCACAAAAGCAAGGTTTCTCTGTTAAATCGTATCGACGTTTTTTAGTTAGCTGTGTGCACTTTTTTTATTATCATGATATTTTTCATTGAATTCGTTACGCTACTAATTTTAAATATAATTTTTTGCTTAAATTCATAATTTAAATACTGCAAATGATGTAGATCCAGCAATAATAAATGTGGGATCTCGCATGCACTCGAATAACGAAGGATCCGACGGATCACTCTTTGTGGCATTGCAATCCCTAATATAACTAAGAATTGACGTTACCGGATTGGCGCTCAATACAAAAGCAATTTTTTCCATTATACTATATTTGTGATAATAATAGTCGCATAGAATTTTACGCACTTTTTTTAAAAAAATTGACGCACAAAAAATTCTTTAGCGATTTTCTCCATAAAAATTGCCGCGCAGTTTACCGCATTAGCAATTTTTAAACAAAAATTACCAGTTTTTTTGCGATTTGTCGGATTTATGGCAAATAGTTTCTTCTAAGAACGCTAATGTTTTAGCCTGGTAGAAAAATAGTTTTCAGCTACCTTTACCATGGAGCTACCTTTACTTACTAGTTGTGCAAGAAAAGGTACCTTTACTTGCTAGTATTACTAGAAGAAAGAATGTTTTATTTGAGTGGCCAAGTATTCACTGATTGGCGGTAAAATCTAAATTCAGAGAAGCTTGGAATGATGGTACTCATTAAAGTGATTTATCCTGTGGTTAAATCAAGCATTAAACAATAGGATACATTTTGTGAAGATGAACCATCTGGTTACCCACAACCCGAAGAACTTTAACATTCAAAGTCAAAAACATTTTAGTCACTCAATCATCACAAGAGCCATCTGTCTCTATGTTTGGTTCTAAGCCTCAATCTTCAACTTCAAACCAACTTTTAAGAACGGGTCTAAAAAGACACGGCGGAAAAATAACTCTTTACAAGCACAAAAAAAAACTAAAACTCCAATAAAAATAAAAAACTCTAGTTGTAACCTGTGAGTTAATAGATAAAATCATATCTTGAATCATTTCGATTTTTGTGTTTGTTACATACCACACATCTTCTCTGAGCATTAATCTTTCATTATCATTTTCATTACTCATTCTTCAAATATATCTTTTCATTAGTCATTCATCAAATATATCTTTTCATTAACCATTCATCAAACATATTACTTTCTTTGTGAGAAAATATTCACTTTTATGATGATTTTTGCTCTGAAAGAAATTCCTTATCGACCATATTTAAAATTAAAGTGGACACGTGTAAATGTGAATTCTTGAAAACAAAGC